GGAACAGCGACGGGGACAGTGCGGGGACCGGTGCTGCGTGGGGACCGCGTGGGGCCCGGCAGCCAAGCGGAGCAGTCAGCTGGACGCGTGTGCTTCTCTGCTGGGGGGTTCCGGGGCGATAAGGCAAGGTGCTCGACGTGAGGAGAAAAGCGGCCAAGTGCAGAGTGCTGGACGAGGGGCGGCGAGACTCAGTCCGTCTTTCCCAGCTTGGCTATCAGCTCGTCGCAGATCTTGGTCAGCTCCTCAATCTCCTGGTTCTGGAAGGAAAGCAGACCTTGAGGACCCCTGTGGTGGCACAGATAGGGGATAACGCCCGGGTCCATCTGCCACCGAGCCGGCGCGGGAAGGGGCAGCCGGCTCCTACGCCTGTCCCTGCGGAAGCCCCTCTGTGCATCGCCCGTGTGCCGCGAGGACCCCGGGCCAAAAACCCAAAGGACACCTCCAGCACCACGGGGATGCTCAGGGCAGCAAAATGGAAACGCAGAGCAAGGGCAGCGCGGCGCGCGGCGAGGAGGGCGGGCGGGCGCCTCACCTTCTGCTGGAGGGCTCTCTCCAGGGACTCCACCTTCATCTGCTCCTTGCGCAGCCCCGCGTGCAGCGCCGCGCTCTCCGCTTTGGCCTTCGTGCGCACCTGGGCGATCTCCTCGTTGGCTCTGCGGTGGGGTTTGGGGAGAAGGGGACGGCGGTCACGTCGTTGGGCGCAGGCAGGAGCGCCGCGGCACAACGTTAGTCCAGGCGGCACCGGCAGAGCCCGGCTCCTGCTCGCCTGGGTGCATCAGAGGTGGTTTTCCCATGTGGAAAACCCACATGAAACTGGATTAGTTCAGCTCCTCCAAACTCCTGCACGGAAACTCTGCTTTCTCAGAGCAAAGCTAAACCAGTTCCTCACCCGCTCCACACGGGGCTACCGTGTGTTGGTGAGCTACTGCTGACCAGCAGAGCCTCCATACCCGCGCGACCCCTTCGCACACCACAAACATGAGCCCTCTGAAACACGGGAACTCATTACGTGACTGTAAATAGACCGTGAACCTCAGTTTCTCCATTAAAAATAAACTCAGCAGAGATCAGAGAATCCATTGCGGGATTCGTGCCGGCTTACTTACAGCCATTTCAAGTCACTGGAGCCTGCGGTTGGGAAAGGCGGCTTTTCACACCAATAACCTTCCAACCTCAGGAAAGCCAAAGGGAGACGTGGCCCTAAAAGGTCTGTCAGCACCCGGAAAGCCCCTCAGCGCACCCAGCAATCTCGTGCATGATCTTACTTGTCTAATTTTTCCTCTGCGTGGACTTTCAGGGCCTGATACCGCTGCTCTTCCTGCTTGACCCGGGTCAAATAATCTTGAGCACACTTCTTCAGCGCTTCTTCATTCTGGAAAAAAAAAAACGTACATCCATCTGCATTGGGACTGAGCACAGAGACGTTGCTCTGATGGGACGGTATATCCCGTTCTGAGTGTAAAAGGCAAAGGCTTTAAACGGAGCCAGCTTCTCCCGTATGCTGGAGCCCCTTTCGGAGCGTGGCAAAGCGCTGTGCAGCCGAGGCAGTGTTTCTCGGGGCACGGCCGCGGCTCTGCCCAGGGCACGATGCTCCGCTGCCGGCGGCTCAGCAGGAGCGTGCTGGGGAGACGTGCGGAGAAGAGCCGGCTCCCCGGAGAGCCTGGCTGCCCGCACCGGCCTCCCCTGGCACTTGACTGACTCTTTGCTCATTTATCAGAGCAGAGGACAGCGAGTCCCAGCGGTCCCCCGAGCAAGGGCTGGGGCATCTGAAGCCGCACCGCGTGGGACGGGAGAGCCACGGGGCTGCAGCAGGGGACAAAGCGGGGGCAATGCTGCACGGGAACGCTGCGTCCAGCGACCAGGGCGGTAGGGAGAGAGAGGGGACCAAGGTAAGGACCTTCTTAAAGCCTTCCAGGACACCCTTCAGGTTCTCATATCTCCTGAAGAGATCCGACAGGGACCTCTCCACCGAGTTTAGGTCTGCCAGAGCCTGGTCCTTTTCCATCGTGAGCTGCTGCAGGTTCTTCTGAGACGTCATGTTTGTCCTCTGCTCATCCTCTGTGGAGGAGAATAAGCAGCGGGGACGCAGCGGGTGAGCGGGGACGGCGGGGACAGCCATCTCCCTGCCCCGCGCGCCCGGCCAGGCCACGGCACCTTACCTATCATCTGGGCAATGGTCTTCTCATACTCAGCCACGATTTTCCTAGGAGAAAAGGGGGAAAAAAGCAGGTAAGAGGCAGCCGTGTTTTGCAGCCACGCATTTTGGGTTTATCCCTGCAACAAAGGACCCGCCAGGCTCGACACAGCACAAGCACAAAGAGAACACATCTCCTAACATGTCCCACCCCGGCGACGCCGAGCCGTATCATCCCATTACGGCCCCGCTAACCCACCCCCAAGGGGGAGCGCGGCACGGCGCCGCGCAGGCGAAGGCGGGAGGAGAAGGCTCTTACCTCATCTCTAACACTTCCTGGCGGCTCTCTTCGTATTTCTTCTTCCACGCGTTCGCTTCGATCTCCTTTGTGATTATCTAGGTTGGGGCAAGCACAGGACCCTTGGGACGCGCTCTGGGCGGCCTGCCCCACGCCTGCCACGCGCAGGGGGTCAGACCCCCCCGGCACAGCAGAGCTGTCCCCGCTGCCCACCCAGCAGCCACTGGGACGCGGTCGGGGATGGGGCAGGACGATGGGGTCCCCGGCCGTTACCTCCTCTCTGATGAGCGTGAGCACCGCCGTCTTCTCGGATTCACTGAGGCAAATGCCGCCCAGGGGACTCTCGCTCCTGCTCACGCCGGTGACAGCCGTGGGGGGTTTGTCCACGGAGCACAGCCCGGGATTGCCCTGGGGGGAGTCACCCAGCCGGGATGTTGCGTGGGTTTTCTTTTCACCCTGCTTCTCCTATCTGGGGAGTTCTCCCTCCGTTCAGGCACCGAACCCCCCACCCGCACACCCCGACAGCTCAGCGCCCGGTATCACACCCCGGCAGAGCCCGTACGGGGCTTTTTGTGCACTTTCTGCCCAGTCCCCGGCCGGGAGCTGGGGCTGTGCCGGGGAAGCGGCATCCCAACGGGGAGACAGAGTAGGGGCCCGTTTCAGCAGGGGGAGCCCCAGCTCTGAGCAGAGACGTG